CCTTGTATAAATAGGTTCCAATAATGAACAGTGACCAGGTAAATAAGAACACTTCATTCTGGGGTAATATTTCACAGTTTATGCAGACTATATCATTTCTTCATTACAGTATCTTGTGTGATGGGTTTTACCCCCATTTTTCAGATGAAGAAATTGAGACTCTGAGAGGTTACATGATTTGCTCACGATAACCAGCTAGTTAGTGGTAAAGTCAGAGTGTAAAGCCAGGTCTTCTGATCGAAACCTAGAGTCCTTTCAGCACGCTCAACGTCTCATTTGAGAATTGAGCTTCTCTCCTGTTCCAGCAGGTGGTTGTATCCGCTGACGTAGTCAGGCAGGCCCTGGATGGCTGATAGAATTTTTCCTGTGGCCGAGGCATATGCTTCTAGCAGTGTGGCTTAGGAAATGACATTTTAACTCTCTGATCTACATGTCTGAAAAACATTTTCTTCTTACAGGGAGACATCTGGGCCATTACCTGGTTAACATTTTCGAACTGCTGTAGGAAATTCATTAGCTTGATAGGAGCATGATTAGAGTGGTCACACTCAGGAACACGAGGTGAGGCATTAATTATTAACAAGAAATCGACTGAAAGATACAATGCAGAATTACTAACAGAGATGGTGAGAATATTAGGATGGCATGAACAGAGCCTATTGAAACCATCTCGAGAACATAAAAAGGCATCGCTCCTGCTTTGATCATTCGCAGCACCCCAACAATGGCCCAGTGGGAAAGAACCACTTGCTGTTCTCGTTCAGTTATGATTCTTATTTTTATTAAAATTCCAAAACCTATCAGGTGACAGATTCATGCCAGGTCAAGGTGCTAGCATTTGCAATTCCATAAATTCAACCAATCTTTATGGATGCCCATGACAGCCAAGGCTCAAAGCTACACTCTTGGAGAACTGGTGAGGAATGGGACACAGAGGCTGCCCTTAGGACTGGAGGATCGAGGTGACACTTAACCATATGGCAAGCCAGAGTGGACCTCTCTGAAGACCTGGGCAGTTTTAAGAAGAGAAGAAATAATGTCTGGAGAGTCGGTTGGGAGTGAGGAACAAAAATAACTAACATTCCTGAGCACTTTCTATATGCCAAGCACTGTGCCAGGTGCTCGGTGTAACCTAATTGAATCTTTGTAGCTCAGCAACTCAATGAGTTGGGGGTAATTGTCTCCATTTCACAGATCAGCAAACTGAGGCCAGGTGTGCTGACGTGCCCAGGGCCCCATGGGTAAGTGGCAGGGCCCCGCCCATCCTCCCAGCTGCTCTGCTCTCTCTCTGGAGAAGGGGGCATTTGGAATTAGCCCAGGGAATGGTCAATAGAAACAAGGAACTGGAGAGACAAGTGTTCCAGGCAGTAGGAACAGCCACAGGGAATTACAGGTTGGTGTCTATTATTAATATGAAAGAATCTTAAAAGTCTGGTTTGGGAGTCTGTGCTTAACTTGGCAACTAATAGGTGCCTTTGCATAACAAATCATCTCTCCTAAAAGGGCATTTTTGCATGGGTTTTATTATCAAAGTAATACATTTTCATTGCAGAAAACTTGGAAAATGCAGAAAAGCACAAATATGTAGCTGCCTCATTTATAACACTGACAGCTACCCTACACAGCTGTTGTTTCTCTCCTTCTAAAACACACTCTCCTGTTTTTTATAATGTGGGTAGCATTCCCCTGATTAGTCCAGGCATCCTCAAACTATAGCCCGTAGGCCACATGCTGCCTGCCTAGGACATTTATCCTGCCTTCCGGGTGTTTTTGCTGCCGCTGCCTGTCCTGCTTAGTAGCTGACTCGTCCTGGGCCCACAGTGCGCACTCTCCAACGGTCTGAGGGACAGTGAACTGGCCCCCCGTTTAAAAAGTTTGAGGACACCTGAATTAGTCTATTCACTGGAATTTCACAGGCTTCTTTCTATTCATACTGCTTAGCACAACTGGCCACACCTGTTAGCTTCTCAGCCCTTTCCTTTGCCTCTTCCTCTCCTCTCTTCCCTCTCTTTAAGAGAGCCCTATCTCATGAGCACCCTAAAGCAGGGACCAAGTTTCATGCACAGCCCTAGCCTGAGCACTTAGCACGGTAGCATTCGAACATTCCTTTTTCTTTCTTTCCGTCCACTGTTCAGTATCTAATGTTTGAAAGTAAGAGATCTCGAAGCATTCATTACCTTGAAGTTGGCATTCAAATTAGCAGGCATCTTATGGGGAAGGGGAAACTTTAAATATATACATGTAAAAGTAACCTGTAGATCAGTTATAAGGAATCATGCTCATTTGTCAAAATGGGCTCCTGCCAAAAAGGAGTAATAGCTTCAGGTGACTTTCTGACTTTTTTCCCCCCTGATCAACTTCACTTACTGAGTACCTACTGAGTACTTTTGAGATCACATGGGAGAGACAAAAATATACAAAATAGGGTCCTGCCTTCAGCAGCTCCAATCTAAACAGGAAAAAAGACATATAAGTAAAAAAAAAAAAAAGCAAAACTTCCAGATGAGATAAGACGTGTTAAGTGGCATAAGATTGCTAGAATGTTCTGGGAAATCAGAGATTCAAGTTCTTCCCTGGCTGAGGGGATCAGGCATTTGACCTAGGCCTTGCAGTCCAGATAAGACGTGCACGTGAAATGTGTGTGCGTGGGCACGCGAGTGCGTGTGGGCGTGGGCGTGAATGTACGTGGGGTGGGGGGAAGGGATTCAAAGCAGAAAGACCAGACTGAGCAAAGGTGAGGGAGTAGAAGAATCTGAGAAGTGTCCAGAAAAGGCAGAGGAGCAAAGAGCATAACAGAAGAAAAGGCTGAAAACGAAGGTGTGACCTCGTGGGTCAGGAGCCCCCGAATGGCAGGTTTGACTTTGGACGTTTTTCCCTCTACAGTTTGAGGCCATTTAGTCCTTAAGCAGATGATTCTTAATCATCTGATAGGTGGTAGGCCCTGTGACAGGTCTGGTGAGATACAAAAAGGAAAACAAGGCCTGGTCCCTTGCTCTCGCCACTAAATTTCATAATAATTTAAGTTTCTAGAAATATAATTTAAACTCAAAGAGGATGTGTTAAGAGCAAAGCAAAATTGGCCCAGACAACAAAGTTAATGATAACGGATCTTTTTTGTTTACCTATGGCTATGTGACAAACTCTCCCCAAATGTTTTAATGACTTAAAACAATGATCATTTGATTCCTTGTTCGTGATTCCACGACTGGGATAGTCTTGATTGGAGATGCCCAGCTCTTTTCCACATGTGTCAGCTGGAGGAGCTTCTGGCCGGAAGGACCAATCTGGGTCATGCCCCTGGGCCTCCATTTTGCTGTAGGCTGGGTTTCTCCATTCTCCCACACACACCATCTCAGATATTCTCCTTTGTTTGTTTTTTGAGACAAAGTGTCACTCTGCTGCCCTGGCTGGATTACAGTGGCATCACCATAGCTCACTGTAACCTCAAACTCCTGGGCTCAAGCGATCCTCCTGCCTCAGCCTCCTGAGCAGCTGGGAATATAGGCACGTGCCACCACACCTGGCTAATGTTCCTATTTTTAGTAGGGACAGGGTCTCACTTTTGCTCAGGCTGGTCTCGAACTCCTGACCCCAAGTGAACTTCCTGCCTCGGGCTCCCAGAGTGCTAGGATTACAGGTATGAGCCACCACACCCAGCCTCTCCTTTGTTACTGGTAGTTCAACTTCTTATGTGGCAGCTGGCAACCCCCAGAGTGCAAAAGAGGAACCTTCCAGGGCTTCTAGAACTGGCCCAGTGCCACTTCTGTCTCAGTCTAATGGTTAAAGCAGGTCACAAGGCCAGCCCAGATTCAAGGGAAGGGGACTACATAAGGACATGAGTATCAGGAGGCGTGATTCATTAGGGCTACCAAAATAAGAGGTCACCACAGAATCTTAAATAATCCAACAGCATCTTCCATGATTTTAAGCCACTGAGGGACACTAAATGTACAGATTTTTCTACTCTAGAGCTGTGGTCCCCAACCCCGGGGGCTGCAGACCAGTACTGGTCCATGGCCTGTTAGGCTGCACAACAAGAGATGAGCATCAGGCAAGCGAGTGAAGCTTCATCTGTATTTACAGCCGCTCCCCATCACTCGCATCTCCGCCTGAGCTCCATCTCCCCTCCCTCCTTCCCCTGCCCCCGCTTCATGGAAAAATTGTCTTCCACGAAACTAGTCCCTGGTGCCAAAAAAGTTGGGGACCGCTGCCCTAGAGCATGTAACCCTACCTGCCTCACCCTATCCCTACCTTTTTCAATGCCAGCAAAATGCAGTCCTTTCTCATGCCACTCACTGACCACTTAAGGGAACTGCTCAGATTCTAAACCAACCTCACAACATAGTTTCAAATAGGCCAACATCCCCGGAGGGAAGGGGGGGTGTCTCACAGCTCAGAATCATCCATCTGCTCCTGAGCCTGTGTCCCTCCTAAGAGCTCCTGCTGCCACACTCCCCAGCTTCAAAATAGGAAGAAACCCCATTCCTGCCTGGCACCTGCCACCCCATCAGCCATCTCCCACACCCTCGTCTCACCCAGGACACTCCTCACCCCCTCATCTGTGTTGCACGGCCCGGTCTCCGGGAGCTTCAGCAGAAAATTGAGTTCCTGGGTCTCAGAATGCCATGTAAGATCCCTCTGTAACTTCTGACCCTCTTGTGCTTTCCATCTCTGGTGATCTTTCTGTTTCCAAGACTGAACACAACGTTCCCGGTGTGGCCCGGATACAGAGTTCAGTTGTGGTATCAGCATTTCTATAGGAACCTGGGAAGCAATCTGGGAAGGTGGGAGGGGCTAAGAGATTTTTCTTGAAACTTTTTATGGGTGATATGACTCCCCCCCCATATCTAGGATTGGTTACCAAAAATATTGGCATAAGAGCTAAGAAGTGATTAATAAAAATACACACTTGGTTCACATAAGTTAATAAAAATGTATACTGAGTACATATAAAAGTAAAAAAGTTAACTGGGTTTAATAGAAGAGCAGAAGCTGAGGGGTTGTTTCAGTTTGTTGGTTTTATTTTGCTTTTTACATTTCTGACCATCCATCAATGGTCCCATGAAGAGGCAGGACTGTCTGGTTATTGAGAGTGAGCTCAAGACGTCCAACCATAGGAATTTGAATTCTGGCTCCTTCATGTACTGAGTTATCTTGGACAAGTTATTAACACTTAATTTCCCTGCACCTTGGTTTTCTCATCTATAAAATGAGGTTAATAATGAGTACCTATCTCATAGGGTTGTTGTGAGTATCAAATAGTACTTTCAAAAAGCTCTTCAATAGTGCCTGCTAAATGGTAAATACTCTCAATAAACATTACATACTATTATTATTATTCCACAAATTACCATCAGCCTCAGGATTTTCAACACATGCTGTATAGATTTTTTCTCTTTATTAATTCTTGTTTAGGATAACTTTGGAGGCAATGACTGTTTAAAATTATGAGAAGTTAAAGATATGCCTGCAATCACCTTCTTGGTGTCTTGGCCAACTGTAAATAAGTCTTTTGCAAGGAAAGGTATCAATAGCAAATATTAACAGGAAAGTAACAATAGCAAATACATTTGAAAAACCCTTAAGGTAACAGTTATTTTCCTGAGCCTCAGAAATTAAATATTAAAAATAAAGGATAGGTAACAGAGATGACTTTAAAACAGGAAAAAGCTAAGACATAAGCAATAAATCTACAAACATTTGAAATGTTTTAAAGAAAACGTATACTTGCTCATGAAATTTGTATGGAAAGAAAATGAGATAAGGGAAAGCGATTTAGAATTTTACTTTAGATATAATGATACAATTCCATAGTATTTTTTTTTCCATTGATTGCTCTCCTAACATCCCCTTTTGTAGTGCACTCACAAGAAGCAAGTAGAAGAGGCATCCAATGAGATAAAACAGAGGAACTTGAGGTCCCTGGCAATGTGTTCACATGGAATCACCTCTCTGCTGCTCCATGTTTACAGAATTTTATTTGCATAGAAGAACTGCAGGAGCTCTGGGTGGTAGTGGCTCTGAAACAAATAAGCAGAGGTACATGTGAGGGAGGGACTCAGTGAACCCCCTTGACTGTATAACTAGTAGTCCCTTACCAATGCAGGTCATGAGGACAAGCAATTGGAAGAGATGGTGGCTTTATCACTTGCCTTCCAGAACTGGGCCTGCCAGTATATTTTTGTGCACAATTCTCTGGGTGTTTTGCCATTCACTTTATATGACGGGCCAGTTATAATCGAAACATAATTGGCCTGACTCGCTTTGTGGGGGAAACTCCCTGGTGTGCTTGGCCACCTTCTGTGTTAACCACCAGGAGGGCAGAGACCGTAAGAGAACTCTCTCCTGCCCCGGCTCACTCACCAGCTGCCGGCAGAGTTTAGGGTTCCTTTGATCGTCCTCGCTCTGGAAGCTGTATTCCTTCCTTAGTTTCAGATACGGAGAACAGGCTCGAAAAGTTGTTTTGCAAGCCTGAGGGAAATAATAATATCATCTTATTGTTCAAAATATTAGAGAGTTCTATAACCCCAAGCAAGGAAGACTGTCCCAGACGATTGTACCCAATCTGTGGTCAGTGAGCCACTGAGAGTATGAACTTAACTTCCAGGAGGTTTGAAAATTTGAATATTTAAGGATGAGTACTTATAAAATGACCTTATAATTTGGGGGCTGGTGGGAAGGGCATAGCTTCATAGCTGATCACAGCCCTTGTTATCCTTCCAACAAAGATAGTGCTGGATTCCTAAATTTAATCTCTCTCTCTCTCTCTCTCTCTCTCTCTCTCTCTCACTTAAAGAAGACAGGTGGGCTGGGTGCGGTGGCTCACGCCTGTAATCCTAGCACTCTGGGAGGCCGAGGCGGGCGGATTGCTTGAAGTCAGGAGTTCAAGACCAGCCTGAGCAAGAGCGAGACCCCGTCTCTACTTTAAATAGAAAAAAATTAATTGGCCAACTAATATATATATAGAAAAAAGCTACTGGGGAGGCTGAGACAGCAGGATTGCTTGAGCCTAGGAGATTGAGGTTGCTGTGAGCTAGGCTGATGCCACGGCACTCACTCTAGCCCGGGCAACAAAGCGAGACTCTGTCTCAAAAAAAAAAAAAGAAGACAGGTGGTTTGGTAGACCCTTTGCTCCCAGTGGCTTTGAAACATTCACCCAGTCCCACTCCAAGGCAGGCCTGAAGTTGACCCAACCATGTTAGGACACATTTTCTCTAAGAATAAAACAAAAGTTCCCTAGGGAATTAAGAAGCCAGGGGTGGGAATCTCTGCTGGCACAGTAACAAAAGCTCATTGGGCATGCATCAATATGCTCATTTTGTGGGCCGCTGCACCCTTATTAAACCTGTGCCTAGTCGGGCGTGGTGGCTCACGCCTGTAATCCTAGCTCTCTGGGAGGCCGAGGCGGGTGGATCACTTGAGGTCAGGAGTTCAAAACCAGCCTGAGCAAGAGCGAGACCCCGTCTCTACTATAAATAGAAAGAAATTCATTGGCCAACTAATATATATAGAAAAAATTAGCCGGGCATGGTGGCGCATGCCTGTAGTCCCAGCTACTTGGGAGGCTGAGACAGCAGGATTGCTTGAGCCTAGGAGATTGAGGTTGCTGTGAGCTAGGCTGACGCCATGGCACTCACTCTAGCCTGGGCAACAAGGCGAGACTCTGGCTCAAAAAAAAACAAAACAAAACAAAACAAAAAAACCCTGTGCCTCTCTGGGCCCCGCCTATCCCTCTGAGCTTTTCCAGCACTGACAGGCGCTGGATGTGGCCAGATGGGGCAGAAGCAAATGGAAAACAGCACTGTTCCCCAGAGAGAGAGTCGGTGGAGGGGGCGCCTTGTCCAGGACTCACACGGATACCCTGCTAAGCACCCATAGCTCGACTCAACAGGGCTGCATCCTAACTCCTTTTACACATAGCACGGAGATTCACGCGGGAGCTTGGAGGGTCACGGTCTTACCTTAGCAACCTGGGGGTTCCGATCCTGTAAATGGATCAGGAGGGAATCTCGTGTCTGCTTAACCTGACTGGTGAAAAATTTCTTCCATTTCCGCCCAGCAAAGGCAGCCAATTGCCCAAACAAAACAAAGGCGGAGTATCTCAGACCGTCGTTTTCCTGTAGGTCCCCATCAAAAACACAACAACAAAGCCAGGTCATTCTTCAAAGGCAACGACATCAGGACACATGCCAACTATGGTTCCTAGAGGTCTATCGCAGGGTGTGCCAGCAGATTTCTTCTAAAGCACCCAGCTGGGTGGGCGGGGGGCAGAGTGGAGGGGGCCGGGGAGTCTTCAGTGAGCTTCTCCCGCAGAAGAGAAGATTAGCCTGGAGGGTCACTAGTGCTACTCCCAGCTTCCCAGCTTTTCATTCATTATTTCATGTTTTGGAGATAGAATACATTTATATGGTTCAAAATTTAAAAAAAAAAAATTTCATAGAAAAATTAAGTCTCCTTCTACTGTTCTCCATCTGCCACCAAATTTTCCTCCCCACAAGTTAACAAAGTTTTAAGTTTTGAGTGTAGCCCTCCAGAAAATGAAGAACACAGAAAAATGTATCAATATATCACATGCTCCTTTCTCTCTTTTTTACATACATAACAGCACACCATGTCACTGTCGTTATGCACCTTGATTTTTCCATCAATCTATTTAGGAGCTATTCCATGTCCATATATAAAGGAGCTTTCATTTTTGTTTCTTTTGTTTTCTACATCAACATTTAGCCAACTGATTCCCTATTTATTAGTCCCAGCATTTTTGCCAGATCTCTTTTCTTTACTTTTCTTCGGAATTTCTCCCACTGGTAGTGGAAATAATCATCATGTTTCTTTCCCCGACACCCTCCCAACTCTTCCTGCTTTTAGTCCAGTTGGTCGGTTTGTCCCTGAGCATGTGAGACCTCTCTTTCTCTCCAAAGTGGGCTGTTTGGTCCAAGTATCCCCTTTCCAGGCGAGGAGACCGAGGCATTGTCAGATAGCAGAGAGCCAGCAGAGTGACCCTGTCCGCTGACTCTTGATACACAAGATTTTGTATCAACATTTTGTGGTCCTAGTGAACCAAGTGAACCAGAGGGAACAGGGCTGGGCGGGCCTCCTCAGGGTGGAAAGAAGCACCTAGAACTGGGGTCACGGAGACTCAGAAAGACTGAGGACTACTGATCATTTTGTGAAGTATTTAAAAATATTCTTTTAGCATGTGACATACACAGAATTTGCCTCAGTTGCATTTTCTTCACTGCTCTATCAGTGTGTGTGTGTGTGTGTGTGTGTGTGTGTTTAATTCAATTAAACCAACATTTATGATTTATGGCTGGGCTTGGTGGCTCACACCTGTAATCCTAGCACTTTGGGAGGCCAAGGCAGGAGGATCACTTGAGGCCAGGAGTTTGAGACCAGCCTGGGAAACTTAGTGAGCCCTCCATCTCTACAAAAAAAAATAAGAAAAATTAGCCAGGTATGGTGGCGTGTGCCTGTAGTCCCAGCAACTAGGGAGGCTGAGGCAGGAGGCTCACTCGAGGCTGCAGTGAGCTATAATTGTACCACTGCACTCCAGCTTGAGCAACAATAAGACCCTGTCTCTAAAAAAATAAATTTTTAAAAAACAACAAAAAGCCCTAACATGTATGGAAAACTTCCCCTGTCCAAAGCCCTCCCCTAGTGTTATGAGACGTACGGGGATGTACAAGACAGGCGGCTGTCCCCCTAGGAGTCTGACGGCCATCTGACGGGAGCACGTGCACAGGTGAGCACAGTGTGGGCGCACGGTGACGAATGCTATCTGTGAGAGATGCAAACTGTCGGCAGACAGCTCTGCCTGAGAATGTCCATGTTTCTACACGGCCAGAGCTTTCTGATCAAAAGTCACAGGCAACCTTGGTTTAAACAGCAGCTCAATGGCAAGCAAGTCCTGGAAGTCTTCACACTGCACCTCCGGAGAGATTCAGAGCCATCCCCCGTGTGGCGTTTGCTTACATTCCAGGGTGGTGAAGTAGAGACTTTCCTGTCCCCTCCCAGAGAGGACTGGCTTACATTCAAGAGCAAAAATCTCTCCGTGCCTCTGTGGAGGAAGGAGGGACAACATGCCAGCAGTTCCTACTAAAGCTCCACGCGTTGTCATTTCAAGGTTTTTCTTCCTTTCCTGTGGTGCCAGCACATCTGGCTGTCACCGCGTTGCTCCATGGAGAATGAGGGCGTGGGAAGTGACACAGGTCCCTCTGTGAGTAAAGACAGGTCTGTTCCCCAGTCTGGGCATCCTGTCTTTCAGAGAGGGACACTGTGGCAGGCTTGCTCATTTGTTAGCTTGCGAGACGAGTCCCTGAGGCTCCTGACGGTTTAAGACTGACCCAGGTATCAGCGGTCTTTCTGCTTAGCCCGTCTTGTCATCTGCTAGTGAAGAGCACAGGCCCCACAGCTGGGGACCTGGTTTCACGTCCACCTACTGGCTTTGTGAACCTTGAGCAAGTTCTAACCTCTCTGTGCTTTGATTTCCGCATCTATAAAGTGACGATAATTACAGTGCCTACTTCATGGGGTTATTGTGAAAAGCATAAGAGAAAAATCCATGCAAACTGCCTACTACTGTGCCTGGCACACAGTAGGGGTTGCTACATGCAAACTATTGCTACTGTTACATTTATAAGAGAGCATTCACTCCATGTTGGCATCACCATCACGTGGCATCGGTGTGCATATATTCACTTCTCTATTAAAATGAAAACTCGTTGAGGGGTAGTGATGGAATCCTATATATCTCTATATGTCCCCCATAAACCCTGGCACAGTACTGGTCTCTCAGTAAGATTCACTAATAAATAAGCGATTTATTATTCTTGTTGAGACCTTGTTCCCTGAGCAACATGCCACCCGGGGCTCACATTTCTAATCCCACTTTGATTCCAATAACCCAGAGTGGCTCGAGTATCTCACTTACGTCATCTAACAGCGTCCTGGTCTGCAGGGTGATGTCTATGAAGAAGGACCCCAAGCCTTTCCCCTGGGTCTTCCCCAGCATGATGATCAGAGTCTTCACACTCTCGTGGATGACTTCAGAGCTCACAGGGTCATACAATCCATGCACCAGCAGGTCTAGAACAAGTTTCTTATACTTTCTCACCTGTTGGCAAGGTTTGAAAAGCATTAGTAGCACAGGCATGGCTCCCCATGGGTGGCAAAGCAACTCCACTTTTTTTTTTTGAGACAGAGTCTCACTCTGTTGCCTGAGCTAGAGTCCGTGGCGTCAGCCTAGCTCACAGCAACCTCAAAGTCCTGGGCTCAAGCGATCCTCCTGCCTCAGCCTCCTGAGTAGCTGGGACTACAGGCATGCGCCACTATGCCCAGCTAATATTTTTCTATATATTTTTGGTTGGCCAATTAATTTGTTTCTATTTTTAGTAGAGACAGGGTCTTGCTCTTGCTCAGGCTGGTCTTGAACTCCTGACCTCGAGCGATCCACCCATCTCGGCCTCCCAGAGTGCTAGGATTACAGGCGTGAGCCACCACGCCTGGCCGCAACTCCACTTTCAATCTCCCAATAGCCTGGGACCTGGACTAAGAGACCATGGCTTTCTTTGGCATCTGTGCGACAGCTCTCATCCAAACACAAATGCTTCTCCTAACTCGACCCAAGCACTCAGTCTTGGAAGGAGCCTAGGAAGAGCAGTCTGGAGTGTGGCCTTGGGGCAGGCGAGGCTGGTGGGGGCACTGCAAGGTGGGTGGTGCCCCTGGCTGGGCGAGGGGACTGGGAATGGTGGGTACTTTCATAGTGGGGAGGGGGAAGTTGGCAGATGCTGAAGGAGGAGGTGGAAACAACATCTTTTACTAAACTAACAAAAATTATTAGAAAAATCACTAAAAAGTCACCAAGGAGTCCCACAGTGGACAACACCACGGTGTGATGACCTCGAATGAGCCACGCCCCCATGCAATCTCCTCCTGTCCAGTGTGGAAGGAGCCTGTGACTTGTGTCTAGCCTGTAGGTCACCCCAAAGGTGATGGGTGTCGCTCCGTCTTAGCAGCAAGGAGTAGGCGACACTCTCCCGGCGGCCTTGAAGCAATGAGCAGCGGTGTCGTGAGAGGGTGGCCTCTGGATGCTGAGACTGGGCCCCAGCGGACAGGACAGCCAGCAAAAAAAAACAGAAACCCCGGTCCTGCAATCGCGAGGAACCGAATCCCACCAACAACCACGTAAGCATGGAAGAGGCTCCTGAGCATCAGGAAGGACAGCAGCCTGGGTGACACCTGACTGCAGCCTTGCAAGACGCCGAGCAGATGACCCAGACAAGCCGCACCCAGACTCCCGACCCACAGAAACTCTGAGAAAATAAACGTGTGTGGCTGAGTCTGCAGCGGTTTGTCCCACGGCAGCAGAGAACTAGCGCACGAGACCACAGCCCAGCCGGGAGACTCTGTGACTTGGGGACCCTACCTTGTTGGGGGCTTCACAGGCCATGGTGCCGAGGCCTCTCATGGCCATGCGCCGCTTTTTAGCGCTGGGGTCCCGGGCTCTTTCTGCCAAGATGAAAAACACATTCTTCAGAGGCTCCCGCTTCTGGAATCTGAGTTTCCTGGAGACCTGGGTGGTCGGTCAAATGCGGACCAATGTGAGCGTGCTCAGAGCCCCAGCCAGCCCCAGCCCAGCCCCTCCCTCGAAAGAAAACCCGTGATTGCCTGCTCCATTTTACCCCTTGTTTCTCCAACTAGGGATGCCCGATTTTTGTTGGAAATGTAGTAGTAGCTTGATCTTTTTAACAAAGAAATTGATGGAGGAAGAGGAAATGGGGGAAGAAATATAACTCAGGGCTGGTGCGTAGGTAGGTTTGGGGGTGCTGGGGAGAGAAGCTCTACAGTAGCGGTGGGCGGGACAGAAGGTGAAAGAAGGGGGACTTCATATGTGTTGATATGAGCTGGGAATACGGGTCCCTTTCACAGTAAAAGGTGGGCTGTCGTTCTTCCCATCTCAAAGAGAATTCTCTTTACCCTTCTTCTTCCTCCAGCTCTGTCCATTTTTCTGCTCTGGTTTGTGGCCAGACACCTTGAAACACACGTCTATACTTGCTTTCTCCAATTCCTCTCCTCCCCTTCTCTCTTGAACCCTCTGCAATCGGGCTGATGGCCCTCTGAAGGACTAATCCCAAGGGTCAGTTCTCAGTAGTCATCTTAGCCTCTCAACAGAACATGTCCCAACCCCTAAATGCATGTATCTATCTGAGCAATTAAGATTAGGAAGAGAAATGCATAAATAATGCAATTTGGGAAACACTGTGTGTCTCACAGAAACCTGTACTTCGAGGACTAAACGCTAAGTAACTGCAGGGCCAGGGAGGGGACAAGATACGGGCGACCCTCGGTAGTCAGCTCTGGTGCCAGGAAGGCCCAGTGTGCTGCAGATGCACATGGTGACATGCAGTAGAATCGGAATCAAGGCAGTGGAAGGTCCAGACAAGACCAAAGATAAAAGCCACCTCCCCACCATCCTTGGAAAGGGGGATGGGAGGGGATCGGATTCTGACCCAGCTGTCTCCATAGCGCTACCCGGGAGATTGGGTCGTATCCAAGCCTCGTTGTTGTTTCTGAACATCCATCGCAGTTCATTCTGTACACCTATGTTAGCAGCAAGCTACGTTCTTCCCATCTTCTTGCCATCCCACAAACATTCTATTCATGTCATCAAAGAACTGTTACCAAACTTTTTTCAGAAGAAAGAACTGCAGTGGGGCAGGCCTAACTAACCGCAGGGCAGGCATGCACACGCCTCACAGGATAGTCTCTGGGAAGGGACATTTGCTCCTGATTACTCTGTGTCAGACCTTGGAAAAGAAAGATATCACTGACGTCCTTTTCCTCTTGGGCTGGGAAGGAGGGATGGCAGGGGGCTGGCCCAGGATTCTCCTCTGTGTTTGGTCCATGGAACTTAAAGAAAAAAAAAATCATCGTACAAGTCACAAACACTGATCATCGACAAACATTGTTAAACAGAGCACTGCGCCGGGGGAAGGAGAGAAAGAGGCAACAATCCTCAGGCCTGTCTTTAGGACCCTTTCTTCTTGGGGAGGAGATAAATAGCAGTTTGAGGCAGCCCCAAAAGGAATAGGAGCTCAAGGGGTAAGGGGTCCACCCTCTGGCTCTCCACTCCATTCTGTGGACTTCTTGTGTCACGATCACCAAAGAAGTAAAATACAGATTTCAAGTGTTTCCCCCCCCAGAGTCTTCATGAATTGAAATACAGAGTAGCCTCCAATTTTTTGTTTTTTTAAAGCTCCCTGAGAATGTAAATTGGCACTAATTTTCAGAGAGAACTTTGGTGCTATCTCTTGCCATTTTAAGAGGCATATACTCTTTCCCTGGACAATTTGTTAGTCTTACAGACGTCATAGGCTCAGAGACATGCACAGGGGACAGCCACCACACCGTTCTCATGAACAGCAATGTGTTCAGTCACCTGGCTGAACCAAGATTCCCTTTGACTCAAGACATTCCCAGAGTCTTTACGATTAAGCTAGTGGTTCCCACATTTGAGTGTGTATAAGAATCGCCTGGCAGACTTGTGAAAACACAGCTTCCCAGGCATGACACCCAGAGTTCCTGATTCTGTGCATCTGGACCGGAGCCTAATCATTTCTGACAAACTCCCAGGTGACACTGGGATGTGCCCAGTTTGGGGACCACACTTTGAGAACCGCTGCATTAACAAAAAGAAACCACAGCATTACAATGTCATTTCTCTGCAGAAAAAAAAGGACTTTAAAATTCACACTGAGGCACAACACATGCTTGGTTCTTTCTTTCTGGGGCTTTTCTTATGTTTCAATAGAACCTGCCACTTCTAGAATGCTCTGGATCAGAGCTGACAACGCCTGGCCGTGGATGCGGGTAGCTTACAAGAAGCAAAACTCCCTCAAGCTGAGGACCTGTCGCCAAGGAGGGCACAGGCCTCATTATGAAGCAGCTGGTGTTTCTGTTCCAAGGCAAAAGAAAATCATGCCTGAAGCTTCTCTCTATTGGGAAGGAAAACAAGCCTGCTACCCTGTTCTTTCTGCTTGACTTCTCTTGCAAGATTAGCATTAACAGCTAAGGGCTTTAGCCATCCCAGCCCCCCCCCCACCCCCCCAGCCTTCAGAAACCGACCAGCCAGCCCAGGCTTAATAGGCTTGAGTAGAATTTAAGGTCGTGGAAGGCTCTCAAGCCGGGCAAAGCTAATGCGGGTTGAGCGGCTTCTCCGAATGCAAGATTCGGTATGTGGTTAGAGACCCACACACACAGCTCCATCTCGAACTCACTGCCTCTTCTAGAAAACCCTTCCCTACTTCTCCACCACAGGATAAAAACTGCGACCTAGTTTCATCTCACAGGTTGTCAGGGCGCCTCTCGATGTTTGGTGCAGGACAAGCAAAGCATGTCCCACGGTGTTGGCTGCACCTCCTATGTCAGAACCCTTGGGGTACTTATCAACGCCAGGCCCACCCCGGAATTACTGGATCCGAATCTCAGGGCGTGTCGGCCCGCACATTGCACTTTGTGTACAAAGTGCAGCTGGTGATGCCACACCTATGCTGGGATATGAGAATCTCCGCCCTGGAAATTCAGTAATCCCAGAATTGGCGTACTCCACTAAGCTGAAACCACCCATCGGGAGACAGCCTGGCGGTCAGAGGAGGAGCTGGGGCCAAGGGGCGAGGAAGAAAAGGATGGCCATGTCTGCAGGGAACAAGGAATCGATGCCATATGTTTGTGAAGCACTTTGAATGTCACTTTCAAAATAAAATTAAAATCACAGCAAGCTGTATGTCTGTGACTTGTACACTTTTCTAGAATGCTATTCTTAAATTTAACGTTTCTTTTAAGAATAAAACAAATTAGGGGTTCCATCAAGGTCACGGTGCCCCTCGCCTGGACCTCTGCATCTCTTGAGCGTGCAGCTTCTTAAAGGACTCCCGCAACCCACACGGCCTCCCTCCTGCCTGCAGGGCCTCCCAACTCTGCATAAAGGTAAGTCCTTTACACCCCGTCCAATCCAACAAAAGGGTCATTTCCATCTGCTGCAACACAGGATCTGAGAGAGGAAACTTGAACACACTACAACAAACACGGTATGCAGACTCAAAGATTTCTCAGGTGTTCTAACTGTTCCCACAAGCCCACTCACCTCCGAACAGCTGTTCTTTCCTGCTACAGTTATATTTCTCTGGTGGGTTTCCACGGTGATCACTGGTGCCTAGCCTAGTGTGGCCACCTTGAAACCAAAGACATGGCTTTGCTTGTAGTGTTGGGGATTCCTATGCACATTCGTCAGTGAATTCGTCACTTCTGGGAAGTGCTTCCTGAGTCAGCTAAACCCAGACCCCCGTTTTCCCCATCCCCGAGACCCTGAAGCTTGTCTGTTTATTGCCGAGTTGTGGTTCTGCCTGGTCTTACTAAAGCGGCATGGATTTGGGGTCACTTAGAAAACTGTTTCATGCTTTGTGCTGATGTAAATCCTTCTGAGTCAAAATGCTAGGTTTATGGTCAATAATCCTTTTACTTATTGAAGCTGAAAGGTATATTATGAAAGCCAAATGTACAAAACACTTTGTTCTTCTCTTCTGGAAAGTGAGCAGAAGAAACTTTTTCCTTGCTTGTATGGACAGGAAAAGTTTGAGAAAAGTCCTGATAATCTGAAATGATTTTTGGAACTAGAATGATTTTATAGAAACTGACTTTACAAGGGTCTTCCCAAGTGTCTTTAAGTTCTCACTACATTTAAAGAAACCAAAATTAGTAAACTCATAAAGTATTATGCATGTGGTTTACTCAAAGACAGCTCGAAAAACGCCAACTAGTGGATCCATATTCTAAAAAAAAAAAGGGGGGGCTATGGCCCCACATTTAAGATTGAGAAACTTTATATTTTTAGGTAAAATATTTGAGGTATGTATCATTTTTGATTCTCTGCTTTAACCAACTTCTTTCTTTAACTTCCTAAAATCCAGTTCCAATCTCTCAAATAAGAGGGTTTCACTGTATTGAATCTTCACAATGACCTTGGGGTCTAATTGTCCTCATTTTAGCGAAGAAGAAACTGGGGCTTAGAGTAATCTCAGACAATTCACCTGAAGTCCAATAGTCGTGGCAGAGCGGATTTCAAGACTCCAAAAGCTATACTCCCAATCACCACGATACAGGCCTATATTCAGCTCCGTGACAATGTCCCACGCAGAACGAGGGAAGATAGACTGCCAGACGCTTCAGTTTGAAGCGTCAGTATCCTCCCTTCAGTCCCTCCCATCCTAAAGCTCTTTGCTGACAATACAATGATCTATAATCCATCTATTGAGCAATTAACACGGTTGTGAAAATAAAAGCAAACTGGGCTTCCCGGCCCACTTCAGTTTTACAAGGAGAACATCACTAGATAGCGACACGCCTACGACTCGACTCCCTCCGATATGGGACTTCTCCCGCCAGTCCGGGCTGGCCCCACCGGCGGCGTCCCTTACCTGCGGCTCCTGCGGCGGCTGTCACGTGACGAGCTGCGGTGGGTGGCGCTGGACACCGGTCCCGGGAGACTCGGGAGGGGGGAGGGGGGGGTAGCCGAAAGTGATGACTCGGCTAAAAGCTCCCAGCCCGGAATTCCTAACATGCAGCAGGGGGAATCAGAAGGTCCTGCTTCAGGATAACGGGTCAGCAGTTATCCTGGAGTGTTGGAAAGCGAGACTCGAACAAGGGGGGAGGATCAAAGTTTGCAGGTGTCGGGGTGGAGGGGCTTGCTGCAGGCGGGCCCAAGCATCACGTGTGCCCTTTGCTTGCCCTCGCTGTGCCGAGGTGCTTTGCCTTCTCCCCTTCGCTGGGGTCTTCCCTCCTGTGCAGTGTCAGCCACACTTTCTGCAGAAAGGACGGCGACCCCGTCCCCTGCACCGAACGAGGCGGCCCTGCCCAGCGCCGTTCCCGCCGCCGCCGCTAGATGGCGGCATCGCCCAGCGGACGGGGCCGGGCGGCCTCCGCGGAGCCGCAGCGGGCGGCTTCCGTCCTCACCGCGGCCGGCCAGAGCGCGTTTGATCGCGGGACGGGACGCGGCGTTCCCTGCCAGCAGCTCCATTGTGACTGATCGTTGCACCAACAGCTAGAGCTCTGACTGTTGACGCCCCTTCCTGCCCAGCAAACACCATATGTCCGGAAAGCAGAGATTTTAAACTCTCAACAATTTAACTGATTTATTGGTAAAAACGAAACAAAATGAAAACCTGGGTGTTGCAGCACCTGCAGAATTTAGGAGCCTCCCTCCCTCCTTCGTTCCTTCTTCCCTGGGCTCCACGATCATGTGCATAAGTCTATTTATCAATAATTATTTACTGTCTGGTTTTGTGTTGAGTCATGTGGGCAATATGTCTTAAAAGAAAAAAAAACAGTTATGTTTTCAAAGATCTGGAAGCTTACTGATATGCTAATAGATAACCTTTAATGAAAACTTCTATGTGCCAAATATTGGGGTAAATATATAGACTTAATCTCATTCAATTCTTACAACAAACCCTACGTAAATATTCTTGCTATAGTCTCCATTTTAAGGCTGGGGAAACTGAGGCACAGAGCGATTACCTTCACAAAGGTCATGCAGTTAAGTAGTGGCAGAGTTAGAATTCAGCCACATGCAGGCTGACGTTGGAGCTTGGACTCACAGCCACCATGCTGTGCAGCGGATCAGTCTGGAAAACCCAGGTAGGAGACAGGTGGACAGAGGTAAACCAGGGAGCGATGTCAGAGCGGAGGGCGGAAGAAAAAAGTGGAGGGAAAGAAAATTGATGCTCCTGAGAAAATAAGAAGAATGAGGCTAAAACAAAAACCCTGTTTTGATTGGGCTACAAGGGCATGACTGCTGACTTTTGAGGACAGAATTTCAATCAAGTGATGGAGAAAGGAAGCTAGATTGCAAAACTGAGGAAAGAGGAAATTGAGATGTCTCGTTGCCGCAAAAGGAAAGCAATAAATAGACTAGAAGAGACGGTAAGGTCGAGCAAAGGCAGTTTCGGCTTTCTTGTGTGCTTTTGAGAATAGAATAAATCCTGGGCATGATTGCAAGCAGTTGCAAGGGAGCCCTAAGATGTGGGTGGTGTCAAATAGTGGCAGGGTAATAGGAAGAGGTGGAGGGGAAGGTCAAGGGCACAGGGAAAGGGTTAGCTCGGGAGAGGAGGAAGAGAGATGCCCTTTTTGTCTGCAGCCAGGAGACAGCCGCAGAGATGGACATGGATTGATATGAACATGAGAGGGATGAGCGAGTCCTATTCTTCCCAATTAGGTTTAATCTTTCCAGTAAAACCAGAGACGTGTTATCTGCTAAGAATGGGAATAAGATTTGTAAAGACGTAACCTTCGTACTGATCTAATCCAGGTGTGCTTAGAATGCCCAAAAAGCAGATCAAATTATATAAGGAACAGAGGAGAATGGACAAGGGAAGCCTGAAGTACGATTGTAAGGATTCTCTGCAAAATCTCACTTCTGAACCAGAACTGAAATGTACCCCACCCCTGCGTGGGCGGAAACACCACAGGCATACTATGAATGACTCTTTGTGTCTAAAAGTTTCTTTGTATTCAAGTTTTCAGACATTTATCAGAGAAATAGTATCTTCTCCATTGCTAAATGGGAGGACTAAAGTGCAGAGAATTATTGGGCTTAAAAGCTACGAAGAAAATCAGGGGCCAGAACCAGAATTGGTACCCAGGAGCCTTTCTGGTACTTGCAGGGGTCTGTCTTCAGCTCTATTCAGTGCTTCTCACAAAGGCTGTGGCCACAGCTAACATCCCCAGAGAGTCCTGGACACAGCACGAACTTGGGAAGAAACCCAAATCAAGGCATGATGCCCACAGGAATCCAAAATTCTCCTTATGTGGCCCAAGGCCACAGCATTGTTCCAGGAATTAGAGGGAAAGGTTCTTTGATAATTCGATTGCAATCTATTGATAAACTGATGACAGGATGTCCTTAAAATAACACACCGTAATTATTTAACTTAAGAATTTAATAATTCTGTTTTCCTTATTGCCAGAAGTATAGGGCTAAGACAACTAGAAAAAGCAAAGGGGGTGATTATTTAGCCTGCATCATTGATGAAAAGGGCAACAGGCAAACTAAAGCAATCAACAATTCATTTTCCATTCAACATAGGGAAATAAGGACAAGTGAGAGTCGCCCAACAAAATGGTTCTTCCGTTTCAGGGTTTTCATAAGCACCTCCTCCTGTGAGTGTGCATTGTCTAATCAGGAAACATCAGGATTTAAGTTTCCTCCCTCTCATCTTCTTTCAGGAAATACCCCCAAGATAGGCCAAACCCTCTCTTGATTTTTACTTCTAAAAAGAAATAAGATTGGCCACCTCCTCAGTCACGGATTGGAAACACCAACTTCTCATTCATTCATTCTTCATTCTTCAACTGTTTATTGAGATCCTACTTCAGGAAGCAGAGTGCCCAGCAGCGGGGGCCAATGCTCAGACTGTGCCCTCAAAAAGAACTGACCAGGGCTGGGTGCGGTGGCTCACGCCTGTAATCCTAGCACTCTGGGAGGCCGAGGCGGGCAGATCACTCAAGGTCAGGAGTTCGAAACCAGCCTGAGCGAGACCCCGTCTCTACTAAATATAGAAAGAAATTAATTGGCCAACTAAAAATATATAGAAAAAGTTAGCCGGGCATGGTGGTGCATGCCTGTAGTCCCAGCTACTCGGGAGGCTGAGGCAGGAGGATCGATTGAGCCCAGGAGTTTGAGGTTGCCGTGAGCTAGGCTGATGCCCCGGCACTCTAGCCCGAGCAGCAAAGTGAGACTCTGTCTCAAAATAATTAAATAAAAACAAAAAGAACTGCCCAGTAGTGGATTGGGGACTGGGTCCTCTGGGTCCATTTGGCAAGGAAAGAGTTGATCAGAGCCACAGGGAGGAGCTGGTAAGGAGCCCTGGGAGTCACAGGGCAGTCACCTAGCAAATTCTTCGCAAAGGAAGAAGCATCTGTCCCTGGCTAGTGGAAACCACTCAGCACAGAAAGACAGAGGACAAAGGCATCCCAGAAAGCAGGCCTGGGAGGAACATGGAGGCTGTTAGGGTACGAGCAGCGAGCTGACCCTGGCCAAGCCATGTAACCTGGTGCACTCCAAATTCCTCCGCAATCCACCCGCATCAATGGCAAAGCTACTTGCAGTAAGCAGACGTCCTTAGGAGGCTCCTCTCAAACTTCATGCCATATTTGCTTCCCATTGCTCTGCATGTGTGTTTGTTTCAATATAAAAGCAATGGTCTTTTTGCTTTAAATGTTTGAATGAAATCGATGCTGCAGGAAGAAGCACTAGGTTTATCCCTCAGCTTCAAATATCCTCTGGCACATGGAAGCAGGAGCCCCCTGTGGCCTTAGTCTTATCACGCCCAGATGCAGTTATGCAAACTCTGAACAGAAGGCTGCTCTCAGCAGTTTCCTTGTCCGACCCACCATCTGGCTGTTCTGCCGTCCGTTTTCCTGACTTTATTACTTGACAGTCATTATTAGCACCAGAATACAAGAAAAAGCTGAAGCTCCTCTTGTGGCCTCTTGGCCTGCGGTGATCTCTGAAAA